TGTCTCTCGACGAAATAATGCACTCAGAATCTGTGAAATTCAGTTGAAAATAATAGTAATTGTAAGCAAGTTAATATCGTTTGCTGCGTTCAAAAACTTATTACTGTACTCGCAGATTTCACATAAAGAGGGAAAGTTATTACCTGTTTCGTTGATTTAATTTTCTGATATACATTATATAATTATCACGCTAAAACGTGATATTATATAACATCATTAATAAGAACAAAATTAATGTTAATAAATGTGGTCTTAAGGAACCAAAACAGAAAAGCAAACAGAAATAGAATTATTATTAATATCTCTCGTAAATATGATATTTCTATTTTCTCGATAGTCATCTTAAAAATTAATGTTTCAATAACGTAATATGCTTAACATATCTTAATGTAATGTAATATACCTTAAAATGAATTTAATAACAAATTTAAGAAATTGAATATTAAGTGGATGTAATATAAATTATCAGAATAGAATTATGCTTTCCATAATTTTGAATAAAATCGTATAATAAAAAGTATTGAAATTTAAAAAACAAAAATTGGTTCACTTCTCATACAATTATTAAATTTATTATCATAATTATACATAATAATTATTATTTTATATTACTATTTTATCGTGATTAATATAAAATATTTATATCATTTAAATATCATATATTATATGTGTAAAATAATGTAAAAATTAATGTGTTAGTAAAATATTATGAGAATTGCTTTCGGCTAACGTTTAATTATCTTTATTTCAATTTTGTCAGCAGATAAGTTAGATACGTTTTATTTTTCATATCGTGATCCTCCTGCATTTCGTGATTCTCGTTTTCTTATTTCTCGTTTCTCATTTTCATTTTCGTTTCGTTTGGTCCCCATAAAAAATGTCACGAGATCGAAATTTTATTGCACCAAGGCGATTTTAGAATAAAAAAAAGAATACAAAATAATAAATTTCTAAATAAAAAAGAGTACGGAATAAAAATCCTTGAAATTCTTACTAATTTTATAAATGTTATAAATATTGCATAAAAAAGAAATTCATCTAATAATAAAATTGATCTTGTTGTAACAAACTTTCTATTAATTTCTCTCTGTTTTACTAGTACAATTTTTGATATCTTATATACTTACAAAACAAATGTGTTCCTTTCGAACAACTCTCTTGTATAAAATCTCTCTTCCACTTCTGATTTTTGTCCAAATCACTTCATCACTTCATACGCAAAACCAATAGCTGAACAAACGGAATCGTAAATTGCATGCGTAATAATTATTGATTTAATTAGCTTAAAATGCGCATGTTAATGTACTTGCAAATTTAGTAAATTGGATGACAAACGAATAATAATGCAGAATTATCAGGATTTGTTTACAATTCAAAGGCTTCATATTTTCTATAATCCTGAAATTTTAATAAAATATGCTGCTCTCTTTTAACAGGAAATAATAAAATATTATTAAACTAGTATTTAATCCACTAGATGGTCAAATTATTCAGACAAATACACACGTACGATTTCATTGTACTAGTGTATAATAGAGTTCCATTTTTCTCTAATCGTCACAGAATAAATCGTCTTCATACACTTTTATCTAACCTCTTGATCTTACTTAATCCTTTTATTTAAACCGCAAGCTAAAATGTACAATTTTCGATAGTACAATATTCAAAGTCCACTTTCCTGAATGAATCTTTAAATATACAAAGTCTTTTCAATTCTACACTTTTCACTTACTCTTGTTAATTGTTTCTCTCTGTTATGTCCAAAATTGAGCCAAATTCGAGTGTGCTTCAATTTTTAAAATCCGATTTTCCCGAACAGTCTTACAGGAAAATTTTGCCCCACATTTTACGACTCATCTTTTCCACGAGGAATCACCCCCTGTCTGGTGTTGTCGAGGTTGCAACTACGATGGGGGATAGAACGACAATTTCAACATTTCCTGTGGCCATTGCCTAGTGGCAACGTAATGTCAGGTTTCCTGCCATCTCTAAACTCTGCAATGCACCTTGCATATAGACAATTCCATGCCATCTAATAGCTCGTACGTGACGATGTTCGAATCGTTAACCAACCTTGGAAATCTGCTGACTCTCATTTCATCTTCGAAGCATTTATCTGTCTGATCGCACGCAGATTAATCCTTAAATGCACAACATTGTAAATTCGCGACGTCTTTATGCCATTGAATCTACGTATGATTTTTTAAAGAATTGTTCATCCAAGAATTAACTCTGCTGCGTTTCTTTCGACCCGTGTTTTTGTAAAATGTCTCGAGTTGAGTCAGTAATAAGTTTCAACGCAATTATTAATATAATAGTTTGGAACTCCAGTACCAGCTTTAATAGCACGACGATAATTTCAATTGTTTGATTTAAATGAAAATGCGCCATGAACTTCTTATATTGCTGATTTATTCAATTGCAACATTCATGTACAACGGCGGTGCACGTTCATTGAATTATCACTTCGATAATGATATCATTCACAAAACGTATAAAACGGATAAAGACACGTAGTGAAGTATATAATATTCCACATTATAATATATATGAAATAATATGAAATGCATAATATAAAGTTAAAGAGATCAAAAATAAAATACTTTATAACACTGAATTCTCTGCATTGATCGTCGGATATTTTATTTATGGCAAATGCAAACGCCGTTTCGACAGGTACCTTTACGGCGTTGCGCCAAACATCTGACAGTACAGGCAGAATGATTAACGCTCAGCCGTTTTGATTGAAATGAAAATACAACGTCACATGTTGCTCTGCGATGTCGAAGTGGTGCCAGATCAGACAAAACATCCCCCACTGCCACTGCCGCTTCGTTCTCAGTGCCTTCAATTTCTCCTAATAAAAGATTTAAATTTAATTTCTTTTTTTTTCTTGTTAATAACGTAACAATAATAATTATTATTGTAAATAAATTAACATAAATGATAATAATAATTTAGCATTTAATACATACCAATAATTTGGCGTTTTGTTAACATATTCATTGTTATTGTTCATTATTGTTTTAATGTTATTCGTTATAATTTATGTAACTTTAATCGTTTAAAGACACATGCCTGACACAAATTAAATGATATTAAATGGCAACAAATATTTCAATATTTTTCGCTGTTGTTTTGACGCAACATTTGAAACAATTCTTTCATGCTTTTCACAAATTTGCAAAACGATCCAGCAGGATTAATGAAACTGATTGATCAGCTAGTAAAAATGTTTCATCAATAAGGATCCTTCGATCGAGATTTGTGATTAATTGTAACATAAAGTTTAAAATGTATTTTGCTTGCGAAAAAAATAAATTTATTATAAATAATCTGCTTAGTAACAATTTCGGAAAAGTTTGTAGCATATTTCAAAGTGATTGAGAACTCTTCTACAATGATGCAATAATTTAAAGTATATTAAATTATTATCAAAGTGTAAAAATAAAATAAAATAACAATACATCAATATACGTCGTAATGAATATTGTTATTAACTTCTGTAATCATTTCTCTTCTACTTTAATGATGTGGTAAATTCAAAGTAACACGAATAAAAATTACTTACTTAATTCGTAAATTGGATCGTCGTAGATCACATCCGGAGTAACTGCGCCAGAGACGTAGACGACGGTAGCAAGAACGGAAACAAGAACAAGGACCTTCATGTTACTTCGAGTGAAACTATATATATAATAGTACTATCCTCACTTCCAGATGCTTGCATCAACTTGGAATGGAGTGATGTTGCTCAGATGGAAACTGTTGGCTTATATACTCGTTTATATACGCGATTTGCTCGGCGTGTTCTTCCTTTCTTAGCCACTTTCATGACCGCGAAATTTCCTGTCGCGACTTTCCTGTCCATGGTGGAAATCTCCCTTGTAATCATGTCCACGCACGTGTGTATATAACACTCATAAAATAAACAAAGCTAGTTTATCGAAGTTCATTACCTGACAAAGATACGAATAAAAGAGTGTAAGTTATGATTATTAATTTCACAGAGAAGCAAGGGAGACAAAGACACTGGTTTTTTTTTATTTATTTGCACTTCTAATGTTCACAATTAAATATTGATACTTGTTGCATACCAACGATTAAAACACTTGCTTGCGTATTTTGAAAATTACTTCAATTGATTCTGAATTGAATCGTTTGATGCAAAAGCGGTGTAAATACAAGACACAACTTTTACAATGGTTCATATAAAAAAAAATGTCATAGAATTGAATTCTTCGGAAGTATCGGATTTTACAAAATTTTTGTACTTTATGCCTCATATTTTGATTCAATTGTATCAGTCTTTATCGTATCCAGATTGGATTTCTCTTAAATGTTAGCTGACCTGATATTTAAGAGAAAATAACAGTATTACTTAAAAATTAAACATTACCTTTTGTATGGAGGAAAATCATTCGACTTGATGATCCCCCGAGAGAAAGTAAAATTTTGCTTATTCTGTGAACGAAAATAAATTGCATTTGTTATAACCGACGATATCAAATCGTCGTCGTCGATGTGAGAACGAACTTCCCCGCGAGAATCTGACACTTTGGACATGTCGAACTATTGTCAAACTAGTATCAAACTTTCAAAATTCGATGTTATTCGTTCGAATAACTTTGATACTTGTCAAGATGAGATTCCATATGTAATAAATCTGTCGTGTAATATTCTTCGATAAATAATGATTATTGGATTAAAACTATATTAATAAAGAATCTAGTGTCTAATTAACATACTCAAATAGTGTTAATCATAAAGTCTGTTGAGAGTTGCTCTGATGTAAAAATGAATATCATTGGTAAAACAAAAATTTCGAAAAGAATAGCTGAACATACCTTGATACACTTTGTTTATAAATGTAAACGTAAGTGCGATTTTAAAGTTTCTTGAATAATGTAATATCCTTTGATGCAGTTCTTTTAAAATCAGAAAAATACAGGCAATTATCGATTTTAGAAGTATATTCTATAAAATATTAAGTTATTGTTTTATTGTTCGGAAATTGCTGACGCATTTATTGCCTAAGAACATATGTATCCTTTTCACCAAAATTTGTTAAATTTATTAATGTAATCTATTCATCATCCTTTCGCGTATAAACTACCAAATTAATTCGATTAATATTAATGCTAGATACATAGCGCTATTTATAATCATTAAAAAGAACCATTCGTTCGAGCAAATTTGTCTGTTATTTCATTAAAATATATTGGCAAAAATAAGATTTCGCGTACGTGAGTTTATAAATTGAAACATGAACTTATACGTACTATACTGGAATTTAAGAGATGAATTCAAAACTCTAGTTACAATGTAAGCGTAATATTATCAGAACAAAGAAACAATTTTTAACTTGGAGAAAGAATGTTACCATGTGTGTAAAACTGTTGCCAAACGTTGGACCTTTAATAATTTCCAATGCCCGTATGATGTACGTACCGTTGCATTTCCAGCAAAATAACGAGAGCGATTCAGAAAAGAGAATATCGACTCACAACATTTGTTCTGGGCATGTGTTGCGTGAATGTGTTTGCGTAATCCATTTTTAACAGGCGAAAAAGTCTACATTGTTCTGGGAAAGCAAAAGTCTACACTGAGGAAAAAGTGAAATGTAGGATTGGACAGTGATAATTATTATTATGCAGTATTATTCAGCGACATTCTTGTATGTCAAATTATGCACTATGCCAAAATATAATTTGAAGTATTAGAGTGGCATTTCCTTTTATTAGAGATTTATTAAGGAAAATAACATACATAAACGATAAGAATAAATAAGTAAAGTAAAATAATAAATAAACGTAATATATATTTATTATTATATTGATAACAATAATTGTTAACCTTCGAATAAATCTATTAAATTAGGAAAATATGTATAAAAAAGACTGACATAATATTTAACACACTATATATAGATTCCTTATAAATCAATTGAATGAAATATAAAAATGATAAAACCACATTTACACTATGAGAAGGAACATTTCATCTAACAAACAGAACCATTTACATCTTACAAAATTATAATCGATTCATTTAGTGATCATTTCTACTTGCTACATTTTCATTGAACAATTCAAGAAGATAATTTCTTTCACTTCAGACATATGTAGACATAGATAAACGTAAAATGACAAGGAAAGTGTCGAGATTATGAGTAATATTTATTTAATTGAGTCATCTCAAGAAAGAAATTGACCAATCAATGAATTAATCATGTGTGATACAAAAAGACTATTTTTTTTTCTGCACGTGTTAAACAACATAAAAATCAGAAAATCACCAAAAATGAATTTTTATATTTTTTCCATGTGATCCTCAGTTAGTTGAAAGCGAAAATTGTCTCGTCTGTTTCCCAAACCAGAGTTTCTAAATCAAAATGAGGAGACAGTCGTACAGCTCGAATTTGAATGTCGGAAGCAGTGGCGAGCCTCAGATCATCGTCGAGGAAAGCACATTGGGAGAAGAGGAAACAGAATACCAGAGGAACGAATCTCCTCCGCGTTGCGTGGATCCCGATTCGCCATGCTTGAATCCTCATCTATTGTCCCCTTGGAGAGAAGTAAGGAAGCACTCACTACCGACTCCGCAATGCACTTCCGGGATAACCGCATCACAGGTATTGTCTAACAATTATATCGGCAAGTACAAGCTTATGGACCACGTCCCCCTTTCTTGATAATATATTTTTAGCACGTCCTGTTAATAAGTTGATAAAAGGTAATAACGTTGCACAAAATTTATATAACGTATTTAATAACACATTTATAATATATTTACAATATTCGAGGGATATTTCAAGAAGATTAAGCGTATCTTCTGATCTTAAAAACTAGCTTCTTTTATACGTGTAAGAAGTGAGAATTGAAAGACCTCTGCTCAAAGTCTTGGAAGAATTTATTTTAAAATTGGAAAAATAATACTTTGAAAAATTAAATTAATTCTTTATATTTACAATATTCGAAGAATATTTCAAGAAAATTAAGCGTATCTTCTGATCTTAAAAACTAGCTTCTTTTATACATGTATGAGAATTGAAAGACCTCTGCTCAAAGTCTTGGAAGAATTTATTTTAAAATTGGAAAAGTAATACTTTGAAAAATTAAATTAATTCTTTATATGTAAATTATCCTTTATATGACAAAGAAAGATATTAATACACTAGCAATTGTATTATAAGATACAGGGCGTAATTTAAGAAGTGTGTATATTATACGTAAGGAAAAGTACTGAAAATTAAAAATAAACATATAAAAGGATTTGTCTTTCGTCAACGATTGAAAACTTTTATACATCCGTTACATACGAAATTTTAAGATGTAGTATCTGAAGTATACTACTTGTTAGAATTTTTAGTGGGGAGAACAAGTCTTTACCAAAAGTTTTGTAACTACATGAATTGCATAAAAGTCCACGATGCAATTACAACAACAAGGAGGCAAGAGTTCAATGTTAGAATTGGTTGGAATTTATAGTTAGGATTCATTTCTCTGAACAGGTGAGACGATTGAGCGAACGTGGCGGAGAAGGATCAGGACCATCGTCAAAAGAAACTGCTTTCCTATCTACCCTTTGTCAAGTGCCAGCCCCACAGCTAGGTGGTCGAAGACACTCGGTCGTTACGATTTCCAAAGTGCCGACAACTTTGTTTGGTCGAAATCGTCGCGAATCAATCGGCGCTTTTCCTCTGGGCGGTGCGACTAGAATATTGCCAAATCGTCGGGACTCGGACACGAAAATCACGAGACCGCCGAGCAGCAGTGGAAGCACGCATAACCTTCAGTTGGACATTATGGACGATATCGCGGAAATAAAAGCAAGGAAGGTGAGATCGTGCAAATTGGCCAGATATTAATAAAATTAAAGACGGAGCAAGTGATAGGGCGATCAATTGGAAAATATTCCATCCGTTGATATTTTACATTCAGTATTCTATATTTCACATTCTACATCTTACATTCCACATTTCATATCGCATTGTACTTCATGTTCCACGTCTCATATCCTACATTCCACGTCTCACATCCCATATCTTATATCCCATATCCCATCCACATCCCCGTAGCTGCATTCTTTCCAACTAGAATGTCAGACAGAATTCACAAAATGCTGACAACAGCTCACGAAATTCCACAGAAACCGCAAGCCGGAATAAAATGAATTTCGTAGTCCACGAATTTTCTACAGAGTTGATTCGCGGGTAACTGCGAAACTATTGGCTATTCCACAAACTTCCCACAAAATGAATGCAATAGCCCAGAAGGGTTGTTTCCCAAATTTTCTGCGAACTATTTCACGTTTAATAGTTTATACATCGAAGCATACAACAGGCAACAATAAGTCCGATTTATAACATTTATCCATCTATCTGTCTGTCATTTAACATCTATTTGTCTTACAAACTAAAAGCAATTCGCTTGTCAGGTCCGTTTAAAGATGTACAAGACCTCGACAGAGCAGGTGTGCGAGATCCAATCGTTGGAAGGTAACCGGTCCACTCAGCGTTACACTAACTATCCGAAACGACGATTCTCTGAGATGCCTGTCCCCTCGGTATCGCCGACATCATCCCTGCGAAGACGCGGCTCGGAAGTGCCAAGATTCTCAAACGCTTCCATTTCTGGCGCAACCGGCATCGTCTGCTCCAACACCGATCTGATATCGATCCTCAGCTCGTTGGCGTCTTCCGCTACGGAGATCAATCAATGCGGCGAGGAAACGGCGAGTTTGCGGGACGAGGGCAAACTGAGCTGGTCCGGGAAAACATCCGAACAGAAGCGAAGTCGATTGAAAAGTTTCCGTTCGAACAGCTTCGACGTGTCGATACTTCACGGAGCTAAAAGTAAGCTCGCTGGCTCGTCGAAGGCTGCCGCCTCGACCATCATGGCACCGTCCAACTGGTTCACAAAGAGGCACCAGCCGATGTCGAAGAAACAGAAGCCAGAGGATTTAATAACGGCCAGCTTAAACTTCAAGTTTGACAAGTCGAAGGTTGTGAAGGCGGTCAAGGAAACGTTTAGCAAAACGTCCCCTGGCACTGATGTTAGGCATAAAGTCATGTGGGACGACGCCAGCGGGACGAAAGTAGATGCTCAGGTCAGTCATGCTCCTTATTTTATATTTATTTGCCACTTAAAGAACGTGATGAATGGAAATCTGTCAATTTCTGTTTTAACATTATCGTCCGGTAATTATGTTATTATGATATTGTTTGCGATGATTGTCTGTGACAATTTATTTTTCAAATGAAATCTTCGAAGGAGTTATCGATATGTATTCATATTTCAACAACAACATTTTTCTTGAGATATACAGAGTAGAACAGATAAAGTGTTTCAAGCTATTTCCTGAAGCCAGTGGTTTATATGGAAAATAAATTTTGCATTTACAATTTCTGGGATTCTTAAGGGTAGAAAAAACTACTATTTTTTTTTTTTTTTTTTTTTTTAATAAAATAATATTAATTTTTCGATATTCGAAAAAACCTTACAACTTTCATCCAAGGCATTTTTATTTTTATTTTCTTTGCTTATTTTTAGTTAGTAATTACAAAATTTATTTTCGTTAACTTCATTTATTTATTTATTTTAACATCTGAATTGATATCTGCAATATAATCAAAGAAAGTGACTTGTAATACTTTATCTGCTCTATTCCACGTATGTACATTTTATTTTGATAAGATACATTCAAGAAACATATTGAATTCATATATCGTTAAAATGATCGATTTTCTTATACATATACATATGTTAAAACTACACATCCACTATTTAGTCAATTCAGCCATTGAACAATTTTGTTTATAGGTATTGGGTAACGCGATTGAGAAAATTTTAACAGCACAAAGAGGGAGCGAGGCAGAGGCATCCGGATCGAGCGGAAAAGCCTCGGTATCACCGAACAAACCAAAATCTAGCAAAGTGGCAAGTTGGTTTTCAAGCACCAGGGACCAAGAAGAAACCGAATCTTACGAATCATCTATTTGTTCTTCTCTGAAGGACTTATTCACCAAGTAGTATGGAAGCACAAATACGGGTCTCGCTCGTTTAATTAATGCTTTTTCATTTAAGAATTAACACAAGAATAAAGAGATTAACACGACCTAAATAGATGACTGATAATCTCGTTTAACTCAAATTAACGAGCTATATTCTCCTTCTTATCATTTTCGTCAGTCTCGTACTAATATACACAAAATGTATATAAGTAGCTCGCGGAGGTATTCGAACACTTGTCAATTTAATAGAAAATTGTATTATGTGTGTTGCGCGAAACTTTTTGATATTTCATTAGTAGTGTATTTTCATACCTGGAAATGTCAAGCTGACTATTTCATTACGACTATCATGATCATGTTGGTAAGGTTTGAAATCAATTTAAAAATGAATATAGTCTATTCTATATAGAATATAGACACATTTATTGCAAATATAGATTTAATACAAAATTGGCACACAATAGGATAGTAATTTTATAACTTACATGTATAATTTTAAACGTATAATTAGAGCTTTGTAGTTCATTAATAATCGACTGTCTAAATACTTTGATGATCAATAAGCATCTTGTAACTTCTAAATGATAAATTTTCAAATTCATTTTAAAAATCAATATAATCATGGTAATCATGACTCGTTACATTGCTCGTGAAATTTCAAAACGTTTTAATATATCCGTAAAAAAATATTTAAATATTTTCTATAAGTATTTAAATATTTTTGTGAGCCTTTGTATATATACGTACGTACATATGTATATAATAATTCGTTACAATGTTAGTGATAGTTTCAAAAGTGAACTATTTTTATTGTATATTTTTTTACTTTCCATATTACATTCATAGATACTCAAGCGCCACAATACTAATTCTTATTTATCATACATAAAAGTGCGTGTAATTCGTGAAACCGTTTCTAATTTTATGCAAATTTTGCAGTTGGTCGATGAATGCAAGGAATCATATGTTACACTTTTAATTAAGATTCATTTAATGTAGCTTTTTTCATTTGTTATCAACCTGCTACATTTCGATATTAAATTAAATTTTATAAAACTTTATTTCTCTTAAGTTGAAAACGATATTATTTTTCAAATGAAAAATAAAAATTTTGTGTAGTAATTTTCTTTGACTAACGTTTAGTTATCGTTTCTATTTCATTATTATTATCATTATTATTTTATTTATTATTATCTCTAAAAGATAATAATATTGTTAAATATTAATAATTATTGTAAATGGAGGATAATCCCGATAAAGAGAGATATTTATAGAAACAAATAGTTTCTATAAAATCAGAATTGATATTGATATCTGTTAGTGTGTGTTGCATTTCAAAATGTTGCGGGATTCATGGCAAAGAAGTTAGAAATAAAAGTCCATGAAATTTCGTAGATTTAACATCTCAGTGGATACAGCTTTCAACAAATAAATGTGAACAGAGATTTAATCAAATTTAAATAAATGTGCGAAGGATTTAATCAAACTCTGTATTTAAATAACACATAGAAGTATAAATAAGCAACGATTCAAAAATAAAAATTTCAAGATGTAATTGAACAATATATTGTACAATAAATGTTATGTGGTGTTCCATAAAGAAGAGTTGCTTTTTTATGAAAAGATTCAAATATGTAAGAGATTATTGTTAAACGATACGACCGTTTTGAAATTCAAGTATTTTGATCTTGTGCGTGTATCCTGTACAAAAGATACCACAAGAAACGTTCGATCATAATGTGAAACATTAATAAAAATTCCTAATAACTAATTGCAAATGTTTCAGGTCCCAGAAGTCCTTTCAGTAAATGTAAAAAGATACTTGATTATTTGATTTTATTTTTCCAATTGTATTATACATTAAATACTAATATTAATCAGTCTTTTTGCACATATAATAATTCATAATACACAATACGTATAGAACATTTATTTAGTGTATTTAAATTAATTTATGTTTAAACAAAAATAATTATTTAAATAGGTTTACCACTCACATTATCAGCATTTTCATTACACACGTGTATCTAGTAGAGTATAATGTAGAAAGAATGTTTTAAAATTATGAGTATTTATTTAATTTTTAGAAAAGACTTTTAAAGAAATGACATTTAATATACAAACATTATAAGTTTAAAAAAATAAAGTTAAAAAAATAAAGTTAAAAAATATAAAATCCAGCCTAGTATTAAATACTACTTTTATATTAAGTACTATTTCCTGATAAATATAGATGCCTGTTTTTCCTATAATTATGTACGTAAAAATTAATTTTTATAGAAAGTGTTACTTATAAGAATAAGAAGCATCATTTATAATTATTATTCTACAAGCTAATTTCAAATTAAATTATTATTTCAAGTTAATTATTATTTTAAATGACTGAATAAAATACGCATAAAATATATTACCATTATACACAAATACAGTACCTATAAGATGTAAGAATTTATACTTTAAACAGCAATCTATTTAAAAATCAAAAATATTTTATACTTTATTAAATATTAATTTTAAAGTTCCTACATTTTCAATAATATTTCAAAAAAGACACAATAAAACTAGAAAACAATTTTTCAATAAATAGGTAGTATACATTTTCTAGTTTATCAATGTAATATCTCATATTTCTAAAACATGATGTATACATCTTCATTAAATGTGTGTGTGTGTGTGTGTGTGTGTGTGTGTGTGTGTGTGTGTGTGT